TTGAAAATGTGTACAAGAAGGAAATAAACTAGTTCTCTTGTAGCAAATTAAAATAATGGCCAAACTAAATGACGTAATGCAGTTTTTAAAAATAAGATATCCAAATTTTCACACTTTTTCTATACTAGCTAGTGATTTTTAATAGTATGCTATTTAAAAGATAATTGGGAAAGGTTAGAGAAAATATTCTTTGTCTTTTTAGAGTGAATGTGACATTTTAACATTGTGTGTAGAAGTGGCTACATTTAAAAAGAAAGCTATGCCACAGAGAAAGCATTTTTTGAAATATTCCTATCTATATGTGATTTTTGTTGACCAAAAAATATGGTACCCATAAAAACCGATGAAACCACTACTTAAAAACATTGGAAATAGACTATTTCTAACCTTCCAAATGTAAGGTTCAATTTTTGCTAAAAATGTAAAACTACAATCTTTCTGTTTACAAGAATTGCTGGACATCATAGAAAAATATCATTCTTTGAATAGAATTGAAAAACAAGTAGTATCATGATCTAAGAAACAGATTGAACAATGCACTTCTGAGGAAGCTGCATGTCTTTGAAAGGTGTATTTTGTATGTGTAATAAAACTAAGTCACAAAATCTAAATTCAAAAACCAAACCACAGGATTGGGGGCAGCTTAATGGTAGAAAACTTGCCTAGCATGTTGCAAGGCCCTGGTTTTGATCCCCAGCACCACACACATACCCTAAGATTTCTAAAAATATGAGCCAACTTAATCACATTTCACTCTCAAAAGAAGAAAAAAGAATTTTGTACTATGGATAAAATATTTTTAAATATTTGTTTTACTAATTTATATTTATTTTAAACAGATTTCACTGGGCCATACTATACAATAATCAAAGTATACCCTTTGATAACTTGACATATGTAGCTATATATTCATGAAGCCATCACCACAAAGTAGGAAATGTATTTGTCATTTCCCAAAAGTTTCCACTTAACCTTTTGTGACTCCTCCCAACTCCAGGCAACTACCCATCTATCTTCTGTCACTTATAGACTAGTTTGAATTTTGTAGAATATTACCTAAATGGAATTATACAGTTTTTCTCTAACATCTTGTCCTTTGCATTTCTATATGAATTTTAAAATCAGATCATCAGAAAGGTACTTTTGATTGGGATTGTGAGTAATCTGTAGCTCAATTAGAGAGCTGATCTATTAACAATATCAGATCTTCTGATCCTTGAATATGTTTTTTTTTCCATTTATTTAGATCATCTTTAATTTTTCTCAACAATGTTTTGTTTAGTTTTGTATGTCTTTTGTCAGATTTATCCCTAAGTGTTTCATAGTTTTAGGCACTCATAAATGGTAATTTTATTTTCAATTTCTGGTTATTCCTAGTATATATAAATATAATTTATTTTTGTATATTGATCTTGAATCCTGAAGCCTTGCTGACTCACATATCTAGTAGCTTCATTATAAATTCTGTCAGATTATTTACATAGACATCCACGTTGTCTGTGAATAAAGACAACATACCTTATTCCATTGGCTAAATCTCCAGTACAGTCTTGAATAGAAGATATCCTTGTTTTGTTCCTGGCTTAGAGCATTTTTCTCTTTACTATTAACCATGATATTAGCTGAAGGTTTGTCATAGACACCCTTTATCAACTTAAGAATGTGTCCTTCTTTTCTTTTTTTAAAAAATATTTTTAGTTGTAGATGGACACAATACCTTCATTTATTTACTTATTTTTATGTGGTGCTGAGGATTGAACCCAGTGCCTCATATGTGGTAGGCAAGCACTCTACCACTGAGCTATAGTCCCAGCCCCAAAATTTGTCTTTCTTTTCATAATTTGCCTGACTTTTTTTTTTTTTCAAATGGTTATTGGATTTTTGTTGAATGCTCGAATAGAGCATTGTCTGGTGACAGTGGAATTTTTAAATTTTAAACCAATTTGTGTTTCTGCGATAAATATTACTTGGTTATTATATAGTAGCTTTTTAATATATCACTGTATTTTATTTACTGAAATTTTTTAAATATATGCATCTATATTCATAAGGGTTATAAGTCTGTGGTTTTCTTGTAATGTCTGCTTTGGATATCTAGGTAATGCTGACCTCATGGAATGAGTTGCAAAATAATTCCTCCTCTTTGGTTTTATGGAAGAATTTATGTAAAATTGTTATTATTTCTTCCTTAAATGTTTGGCACAGGGCTGATGTTGTGGCTGAGTGGTAGAGCACTTGCCTAACATGTACGAGGCACTGGGTTCAATCCTCAGCACAGCATAAACATAAATAAATAAAATTAAGGTATTGTGTTCATCTACAATTAAAAAGTATATATTTTTTAAAAAGGCAGAATTCTCCAGTAAAGCTTTAAACCTGAAGTTTTCTTTGTGCGGTGATTTTAAATAAGTTGAATTTGTTTAATAGATATAAGGCTATTCAGAATTTTTTTATCTGTGTGAATCTTTATAGTTTGTATCCTTCAAGGAATTTTTCAGTCTCATTTATACTGTCAAATTAATTAATATAAAGTTGTTCATAATATTGCCTTATTTTTCTGATATCAGTAGACTCCATAGGTCTGCCACCTTTCTCATTCCTGATGTTGAAAATTGTGTCATTTTTTTTTCCTGGTCAGTCTAAGAAAACCTGTGTGTGCTTTTGTTTTCCATTGGTTTTAAATCAATTGATTTCTGCTGTGAACTTTATGATTTCCTTTCTCCTGGGTTTCATTTGCTCTTCTTTTTCTAATTGCATAAGATAAAAGCTGAGGACTCATTGAACTGAGTCCTTCTTTTCTCATATAGGCATGAATTTTCTCTCCAAGATCTGCTTTAGTGGTTTCTGATATATGTTGATTTTTATTTTATTTGTTTTTTCTTTCTTTTTTTTTTTTTTTTTTGCTACCAGGAATGGAACCTAGGGGTGCTTAATCACTGAGCCATATCTCCAGTCATTTTTATTTTTTTAATATTTATTTTTTTAGTTTTAGGTGGACACAATATCTTTTTTTTATTTTTATGTGGTGCTGAGGATCAAACCCAATGCCCCGCGCAAGCCAGGCTAGCACTCTAACACTTGAACCACATCTCCAGCCCCTCCTGTTTATTTTTTATTTTGAAATAGGGTCTCACTAAGTTGCTTAGGCCTCACTAAACTGCTGAGGCTGGCTTTGAACTTATGATCCTCTTGCCTCAGCCTCCTAGTTTCTGGATTACAGATGTACACCACTGCCTGGCTACATGTTCATTTTTAATAGTTCAGAACACTTTTATAATTTCCCTTTTGATTCTTCTTTGATCCACAATTTATTTAGAAATATACTGTTTAGTTTCTAAATATTTGGGGATTTTCCAGAGGTCTTTCTGTTAACTAATTTCCTATTCAATATAATTGTGGTCAGAAAACAGATTTGGTATGGCTTAAACTCTTTTAAATTTATTGAATCTTATTGTATGATCCTGAAAAGAATGTATATTCTGCTATTATTTGGTGCAGTGTTCTATAAGTATTATGAGGTCAGGGTAGTTGGTAGTGTTCAAGTGTTCAATGTTTACTGATCATCTTTCCCACTTCTCAATTTATTTAATCAGTATGGACCTGTAGATATTTATTTTCTAGTTTGGATCTTTTTAGTTGCTCAAATTCTTTCTCTTTGACCATTGGATGTTCTTTCAGTTGGCTCCTGCTCCCCTTTGACATAACACCCATCAACATGGTAGTTTATCACTTCCTTACCTTCTGATACTATGAAATACTCTAGTCATTGGGCTTAAAATTCATATATATATATACACTTTTTTTTTCTGGTCCCAGTTCTAGAATCAGCCATTTCTCCAAGGAACCCTGGACTTTTTATTGGAAATAATGTTAAAAACCAAGATCTGGGAGTTAGATAAGCTTTGTTACTGGAGTATCCTTTCTTTTAGTCCTTAGCTGAAAGATCAAATATAATATTAGCATATATACTAAATTATGTATATACATATATCTATAAACATTTCTATGTAACCATCTGTATTTCTATTAAACATGAGTTCTTCCTGTTGTCTCCAACTAATCCATTATCACATGGATCATTTTTGCTTTTTCACTTTGCTTTTCTGTAAATTTCCACTCCCAGCAGTGAGAAACCTTGTTTCCACCATTTCCCCTCCATATATCTAATTATTTAGGTTTATGAAGTGTCAGCACATCATAAAATATGGTGCTTACTTCAAAGTGAGCTTTCGGGTGGAAACATACAGACAATTTCTGCCAAGTAGGTCCTCCTAAGCATTAGCCTGAGCTGGAAGACAGAACAGAGAAGTATGATAGGTTCAAGAACTATTGTGACTAATACAAAAGTAAGCACACAGTTTTGTTCAGAACTTCTGAGTTTTAAGTTACAGGGGACACATGAAACATAATTGAGGAGATGGCAGTGATTCCTACATCATCAGAAGTTTGGGTGTACTTTGCAGACTTGGGGGACTTAAGTATTATCTGTTTTAAGGTAACTCCTGAGTCCCTACCTGAGAACTCTGCTTCTGCTTAAAGCACATAGGCTTCTGGTTTAGTTCCTTGGATGCAGTATGCAGAGATGAATGTGCAAGACTTTGGACTAGGATTCCTGTTGCCCTTGGAGAAATGTTTGAGCATTTAGCCGTACCATCTGCACTAAAGGAGCTCTTGAAGCCTTTGGAAAATTAGGTTAACTTAACAAGGCAGATTGGAACCTGAGGTGTTCCTAGAAGGACAGGAAATAGGTAAGTTGCTGCTGGATCTAGAATGGATATCTGAGAGATGTGGATTCTTATAGGTACCATGGGAACAAGGGAGAAAACCTGTGGGCTACCAAACCTTTACAAAGACAGAATTTGTAAACTGATGGTGGCCTGAAAAAATAACAAGATATGTTAATTGCCAATGGGAAAGGAAGATTTCTTGCCCAAAGATCATGTCAGCCCTCCTCAGAAGGGAACCTCTCAGAGGGTTTCTTTTTCTTATTCCATCCTCAGGTAACAGTCCTTTGGACAGCCCCCGGAATTTCTCTCCTAATACACCTGCTCACTTTTCCTTTGTTCCTGCCCGTAGGTAAGTTGCAAGAAAACTTCGTCTGTGAATAACACATGTGGTACACTTGCATGAATGTTAGTTGAATATCAGATTCCTCCTATAAGTCAGTGCACTTTCAAGTGAGTTACCTTGGATTACCAGCCATCAAAATCCTTCCCTGCTTTTCTCTCCCAGATTATAATCATTTTATTCAAGTTTTGCTTTCTGTGTAATCTATGTATTTGCATTTGAATGTTGGAATGGGAGAATAAATTTAAGAACTAGATTTATTTTTATAATTCTTAATCATATGTCCCTGGTGTCCTAAAAGTATGTTCCAAAACACTATACCTCAACTGATAGCTGTCCTCAATTGATCAGTGGGAAAATGGGCTCTCTTCCCTGGAGGACCAAAAGGTGTACTCTTACTTCTCTAGCTCAGTGTGTTCCAAGGGACTGGAAGGGCCTGACATTCCTCACTGCTCACCTTTGAAAAGCTGGCCTGTGTGTGGGCATAGAAAGACTGCAGGGTCTTCACTTATCCTTCCAAGAATTTAGAAAGATTTGGTACATACGGAGCCATGCTTTTATTCCTCCTGCTATTTATTTACTCACTGAAAGTGCTGTAAGTCTGTCTGTGGCCCAGGATAATCATCTTGACAGCTTCACCCATGGCTAAGGTATCACCTGGCCTCTAGAGAAGTACAGGTTGATAGAATTCATCTAAACTGTGTGCCAAGGCTCCGTTCTTATTTATTTATTTATTTATTGGTATCAGATTGAACCAAGGGGGCATTTAACCACTGAGCCTCATCCCCAGCCCTTTTTTTTTTAAAAAAAAAAAAAAAAAAGCTTTATATTTTGAGACAGGGTCTAACTGGCTTAGTGCCTTGCTAAGTTGCTGAGGCTGACCTTGAACTTGTGATCCTCCTGCCTCAGCCTCGTGATTCGCTGGGATTACAGGGCATGTACCATTACGCCTGGTTCAAGTTTTTAATTTTTTTTTAACTTTTAAGTTTTTTCCTGGTTAGAGTCTTAAGTACCAAAAACTAAGTACTCCAATTATGAGTCCAGATTTAGAGCTATTAATAAATGGAGAACATAATACACCTTGAGGCAAGAATAGTTTTAATATTTACACTACTTTTTTAAAAGACATGACAAAAAAAACAGACTTTTGGAAATAGCATTTACTCACTATTCAAATGACAATCTAGAAGAAATATATCCCTTCCACTCCAGGATTCTGTGTAGTTGAATAGACCTTGAGCAGGGAAAAGTTTGATTACTGACTTGGGTGCCCCTCCTGATCCCTGCTTTATTCAAAAGAAACCTCATCCAGATGTGTTCCCCGGACTCATCTCTCCTACCCTATGTAACTTCCAATTAGTTAACCAGGGATTCAAGTAGTATCACTTATAATATAAGAATCTGTTGGATTGATTTTTTTTTTTTTCTGAACAGCTGGAAAGACTTATCCCAGACTTTCTGCCTGGACTGTGTATGAACTGTAGCCTAGATTAAGTATGAACTAGGACAGCAGGACCTGTGACCAGATCCCCCAGAAGTGGCATTGAGTCATTTTCCATTCATTCAATAAATTTTGACTGAACTCTGACTTTGAGCTTGGCACTATGCTGAGTGCTTAGTATTACAGTGGTAACAAAATAGTCATAATCCCTACTTTCTTGAAAATAGATAGGGTCTATGCACTTGTTTCCTTCCTAAGGAATGCTGTCCCCTCAGATGTTCACTTAGTTAATTCATTCTTGTCATTCATCTCTCATCTTAAATATTATTTCCTTAGAGAAACTTTTCCTAATGACACAATCTAATGGGACCTCCTTGTTAGTCTCAATTAAATTATCCAATTTTATTTTTAAACTAGTACTTCTAATATTTCTTAATATTTTCTTTTGTTCATGTTTTTTCTCTCACCTCAACCAGAATCAAGTTACCTTTAATACCTTGATCTGTTGAAAACTGTGTCTCCTGGTACATAATAAGCATCAATGCTTATTGATCAAATGCGTGATGAGGGAGACAAACAATACATGAAAAGCAAATATTTAGTTGTAAGCTCTGATAAGTACCATGAAGGGAAAGAACATGATGCTGCATGAAAGAATAAGAAGAGAGTAGGCTGTGAGTCCCCACTGGTGGTCACATAAAGCCACACTGAAGGATAAGAAGCAGCTACCATGTTAGGTGTGAGGTCACAGAGTTGGGGACTATCCTAGGTAGAGGGAATAGCAGGTTCCATTGATGCCCTTATATCTACTTGATTTAGGCTTCAAAAACAGGACCAACTGGGAGGCTTTGGGGCCTGGTATTACTACTGACTCAAGTCTACGCTCATAGGCATGACATTTGAGTCATGTGCATGGAACATAGACCCCTGGGCTGTCCTCCTACAGAACATTGTAGGAAAAATTGCTAGTTATTATTTTAATATTTATTTTTTAGTTGTAGTTGGATACAATATTTCTTTCTTTCTTTTTTTTTTTTTTTTTTTATGTGATGCTGAAGATTGAACCCAGGGCCTCACATGTGCTAGGCGAGCGCTCTACTGCTGAGTTACAACCTCAGCCCAAAACTGCTAGTTATTGATGGGGTGGAGAGGAATGCCTCAGCCATGCCAAAGAGGGACTAAAAATTGTTGGTTCCTAGTTATTGAGGTCATTTTACTTCCAACTGCTACACATTTATAAACAGAAAATTTGCCTTCATCAAGTTAAACCAAATGCTGGGGGTCAAACAGATTGCTATCTCTGGTTCCCATTGGTTCTCACTGTGATGTACATCTTTTCACTACAGCCATGGCCACAGAGCAGACAGGTAATAGTGGGTATGATGGGGAGAGGGGCTGGACCACTGCTATGCATGGCCAGATAATGTGGCTTGTGATTTTGTGCTTGGTGAGAGAACTGGTTGTGATGATTCTTCTCTGACTGTGGGTATGAACACTGGGCCTTTCATATCTATCAAAGAGGCCTCATAGGATCCACTACCTGCTGGAACCAAGACTCAGAGCTCATATTCTTGGAGACAGGAACTACTGAATAGTTCCAAACTTCTGAACCTAGGTACAAATCACCTGCATTCTTACAACTTTCCTCAGTCTCCCAATGAGGAGGCCAGACAGAGGAACTAGAGACATCCTATGTCTCATTCATTCTGGTAGCCCCTGTTCTTCAGTATACAGAGAAGTGACTGCCATGCAGTTGGTTTCCATTTTTATCTAAAGGATTGAAAATCACAAGTGAAAAGGTGTATTTAATAAGGCCTTAGGAAATCCAACACTGAATTACATTAATCTTTGCTGAGCTCTATTTTCCTGGAATTAAATGGCTTTCTTATATAGAGTACCCAGGGCCCAGCAAAGAATCAGAGAGAACATCATATTTTATCACCCTCCTGGACATTTCTTTGCTTCAGAGACAAGGTTCCAGCAGAGTTCTGATTTACACATGCTGGCTGCCTGGGTGGCATGAAGTTTGAGTCATGTGCATGTGGCATGGAACACTGGGCTCTTCCCTTACAGAACACAGTGGACAAGCTGCTCTGTGTTGGGAAGGGTGGGGAGCATTGCTTCCAAAGGAGAAGCCCTACCAAGATTTATTCCCTTTTTTCCTTCCTCCTCCACTCCCCATCCCCTGCTGTAACTCTGAGAAGTCTTGGACAAATCATTCCAATCTCTGGGTATCAGAGTTTTCTCTGCAAATTGTAGTAAGAACTTAACTTCTAAAGGTCTTCCATTGCTGATAGATATAAGATTCTGCCGGTAGCAGTGAAGAAATTTCATCTGGCTTCAACCTCAGCAGGCTGTGTACCCCCAAGCTCCACATGAAACAATACTTTATGCCACTTTCCACAGTCCAGGCAAACAATCACGTGTTTATGTTTTAAAAGCTTTAAGTCAGATACCCCCTTAATCTTTCTCTGCTATAGTAAAATATGTAATTGTGGTTCTTTGGGATAAGAGCTTTGTGGGGCATACTTTTGAGAAAGCAAGGAAACCTCCAGAGTTTCATATAAAACCAAAGGTATGTCACCTCCATCCTCTTTTGTAAGGTTACTGTCATTCTGTGGCAAACATTTTCAAAGACTGATTTTATGGGTCCTAATGGATCCTAGATGGCCTATAACTATTTGCTGTCTATTGATGTTCAGTTCAGATCCAGATGGTAGTCTGCTTTTTCCTTACTATCAACCCAGTGTCCTGGGAAAACAAGAGCCCTTCACATAGTCTTCAAAAAGGAAATAAAGCTAGGTGTGGTGCTTCATGCCTGTAATTCCAGCTATTCTGGAGGCTGAGGCAGGAAGATTGCTTGAACCCAGGAATTTGAGGCCAGCCTGAGCAACATAGTGAAACCCATCTCAACAAAAAGGAAATAGCTGCATTTCAGTGGCCATTGTGTCCTTACGATAATGCCTTCAGGTAGAGTACTCTGATGTTGCTTCTTTTTGAAAGTGAATGAGTTGAAAGTATTAAAATATTTATTCCAAAACCACAGTATTATATAATAGATACTCTTATCTAAGCCATGGGTTCCTTCATAGTCAGAAGTGTCCATCTCTGAAGTGGAAAACATACATCAATAGGCCTCTTGTAGGAGAGCACGTGTGCTAGATGGAGCAGTACTGTTTGGAGATGAGGAGAAGCCTCCAGCAAATCAACTGCCCAAATATGCTGATGGACATAGCCAGGCAGGTCCTGGGCTCAGGGTGGGGACCTTTAGAAACTACCTAATATTCTTCTTCTTACATAGGACTGATGGACGGCGCTGGTCTTTGGCCTCTTTGCCTTCTTCAGGCTATGGAACCAACACTCCTAGCTCCACTGTCTCAGTAAGTAGCCAAATCTGTGGCCATACCTCCTTCATTCTGATCCATACAGCACTGTCCAATGCTACAAAATAGTTCTTAGCTTTTCCTTTAAAGCCAAATTCATGTAGATTGCTTGGGGGTAGTGCTGATTGGGGCAGAAGGCTAGTGACCCTTCACAAACATAGACAGATCCAGAAACGCCTTTGGAAGGTTCCCTCCCCTCCCTGGAGTCAGTTCTTCCTGGTTGAGTCAGAGAAGGGCTTGTGAATGCACTTTGTTGCTTTGCCAGTGAGGCTGAGCATGGGGACTCCTAAGCATGGTTTCCCTGCCCACCCCCAACCTTATTTCTAGGACTGCAACCAAGAGCAAATCACCCCTTCCATGTCACAAAGCCCTGGCAGACCTTCTGCCTCATTTTTTACCTTTTTCTTTCCAAAAAGTCAAGAAAGAATGTGATGTATATTAACAAAAGACTAGTCCTTACTCTAAAATTTTACTTATTTTTTTTAAAGAAGGTTTTAGCCAAAAACGCAACTGATATGCTAATTGCTACCATGTGCAATCAAGCCTAAAATGAGTCCTCCTTTTTATTAAAGGATGGCAGGGTTGGCAAACTTAGTGAAAAGCTAAATACTAAATGTTTTAGGCTTTACAGAATGTATATTTGATGAGTGTATCCCCATTTCTGTTCTTCAAGTCTTCTATGACGGGTTTGTCTATAGTCATGAATCCCAAGCACAGCAAAGGATCACCATTTTCTCCCATGACTAGATATTACTATTAAATCAATCCAAAGGTCTTATTGATCTTTGGCAGCTAAGCTTAAATACCCATTTTTCCATAATCCTTTACTCAAACAAGTGATTTTTTTAAACCCAAAGTAAGAGTTGTGTGTGTGTGTATATTCTATGTATGTATATGTATACACACATATACTATATATATTTTTTTCATCTGTTCAGTAAATTTAACATACTCAATCCATTGCTCCAGCTTATTGGGATATTTTAAATACCAATTTTGTTCACCATAATTTATTGCCCTGCTAGCTTTATGTTAATCGGGGGAAAATTCTTTTTGCAGCCTAAATAAATTCATTTTTAAAAATGTTGCAGGATAGAGCCCGGTGCAGACATTGCATTGTTTATAGTTTTGTGTACTATATAACATTCCATGAGAGAGACACACATTGTTAGTCCAAAAAGTGCTAATTTCTCCCTTGATGTTGACCCTATAGCATCATATTTCCCTCTACGTGGTGCTACAGCTTTGACTCTAAAGGATTTAGATTTTTAAGCCCCAGACCCTTGATTAATTGATAAGTAGAAATTGGGCCAATAATGCTAGACTTACCTGCTCTCTTAGAATCTTGCTGATTCTGGAGCCTGTGGGTTGCTACAGCGTAGCTGTATGTGTGGGTTTCCTTCAGTGATGCTGGTTCACTTCCTCAAATGGTCTGTTGTGACTGGCAGATTCTTGTCAGGAATCCTCAATCACTCAGCCATGTTTAGAGTTTCATAATTGTTTTCAGATCAAGTTTAATCTTTGGGTCCAGATCTAGAAGGAATTTTCTTCTCTGGTATATTTTCCCGCCTTGTGTTGTCCCTAGTATCTGGACATAGCTTCCCAGCCTCACCAAAGCTAGTTTTCCTCTAGATAACAGTTGAAAAGAAACATGGCTGAGCTGTCCCCTGATGGCACTCTTAAGGTTGTAAAAGGGAAAACATAAGGGGATGTCATTTGCAGCTTACCTGGAACATTTCTTGAGCTAGGAAGTGTGCTCTCTACTTGCTTAATATCTCAAGAAGCCAAAAGCTTCATAGAAGGCCAAGGGTCCTTGCAGAAAAATCTGCTTTTTACTACCTCAGAAGACTCCTTGGTGTTGGAGAGTTCTCACACCTCATGAAGGTCTGAGCCCAGCTTCTAGCACAACTCCTGAAGGACTCTAGTGTCTTGGCTTGATCAGTACTGAGACCTCTGAAGGTTTCATGGTGAAAAGAATCATGCCCAGTCCAGGCTACAGGAAAGGAGCCAGGAAAGGAGCAGATGCTTTGTGTTCACATTGGCTAGGGAGTCCCTGAGCTGTTTCAGTCCTTCTCCACTCTTGGACTGCCCTTGCTCCCGTCTTTAATGCTGTTTGTAATGTTTTCCCCCATAGTCATCATGTTCCTCACAAGAAAAGCTGCATCAGTTGCCTTTCCAGCCTACAGCTGATGAGCTGCACTTTCTGACGAAGCATTTTAGCACAGAAAGTGTACCAGATGAGGAAGGACGACAGTCCCCAGCCATGCGGCCCCGCTCCCGCAGCCTCAGGTGAGGAATGCTCTCCTACTGTTCTAGTACCCAGGGGCCTCAGTTTGCTACACACCACAGGGATTGGCACACATCTCCTGTAAAGGACAAGATGTGAATATTTTAGGCTTCACAGGCCGTATAATCTCTGTCACAGCTACTTAACTTTGCTGCTGTAGTGTGCAAGCAGCCACAGGTAACATAAAAGCTTTGTTTAGTAACACAGGTAATGGGCCAGATTTGGTCTGCTGGCTGTGGTTTCTAACCCCTGGTGGAGCATATTGGCCAACTTGAGTTAATCAAATCCAATTAATGTTCAGAAATGTTTTGTATTCAGGTTCAGCTCAGCCCATTACTCAAAAGCTATGTGATGATGCTGTCATGTGGTCTTTCTCTTTTTCCCTTCCAACTCCATTCAGTAAAAGAGAGTAATAGTAGTATCAGTTCTAATGATTACCTGACTGCAGAACCATGAGGCCCAGAATGTATGAGCTAGGCCAGCTGGAAAGCTGCTGCTACAGACACAAGTGGCTGACTTGGGGAAGGAGCCCAATTTAAAAGCAGAATTAATTGCCCATCTGAAGCTGAGTGCAGTGGCATATAACTGTAATCCCAGTGACTTGGTAGGCTGAGGCAGGAAGATTGCAAGTTGAAGGCCAGCCTCGTCAACTTCAGACTGTGTCTGAAAATAAAAAGGGCTGAGGATGTAGCTCAGTGGGAAAGTGTCTTAGTTCAACCACCCGTGCTGCAAAAATTAAAATAAAAAATGCCTTTCCAAAGCCATCTCAATTTCAATTCCTTGAGTCGCCTGGGCCTGCCTTCATCAAACTAAACAAACCTTAACAGCTGATTTGTCTGAATTCCCCTGAGTTAGTGGGGGAAAGTACTGAGGCTCAAACCTAGAGCCTTGCACATACTAAGCTAGCACTCCACCGTTGAACTACACCCCCAGCCACTAACTGCCCATTCTCTTTGGTGTTAGCTTATAAAAATGTGCTAGCATTCCAAGTTAAGGGAGACGGTGGAGATCAAAATGAGCTCAACTTCATGAGACCCTTCTTAGGGTCTCTGTGAAGTAAGAAATTGGCTAACATGTACGGGGTGGTGTCCCAAGGAAACAGTGCCTCCCAGAAAGAATCCCCTAAGGTACTGCTGGCACTTTGATAGGGAGTGAGCTGGGCCAGATTGATTCAGCTTCAAAGAATAAAGGTGATCACTGGGACTTAAGTGCAAAGGATCAAGAATACAAATGAGTGATGTAAACCGAATGACTATCCTTATCTCACAGAGGAACACCTGAATCTTGTGATCTCAGCAACTTACATAGAGTAAAGGGTATATTTTAGGACTGAGAGGACCACAGTGACACTCAGGGAAGTCCCTCCTGTATTATTCTTAAATACTTGATCATTTGCATCAGGAGGACAGACAGAACAAGGCTCACTCCCAGGCTCACGCCTGAAATCCCAGAAAGGCAAAGAAGAACAGTTCTGAACCTAGCCCAGTTGAGAACTCCTATCAGGGCACTAAACTAGGCAGGACCCAAATTTAAAACTCAGAATTTTAAATTCTTTAAGGAGATGTAACTGCATGTGGGCCAGAGGGGAAGATTTAGGTTACAAGGGAAGATAATAAACTAAGGCTGAAAACACTATTATTCTCTTTAATAGATGACCCAGACATACAGCTCACTACAGGCTAGATTCACCTGTCTCCCAGGCCAGAGGTCAAGTTAGCTCTCTTGGCCGCAGTTTATTTGAAAAAAGAAATAAGTGTGTAGAGTCTTCCTTTGGTTGCTTTGGAGGTTGATCAATTTGATTTGATTCCCAGAGAGTGCGAAGGTATAGCAAACCCCACTGGCCAAAGCTACAAGGACACAGGGTCTTGTTCTGGGGAGGTCATCCCTAGGAAAGCCACCAGTGAGCTCAGGAGTAGGCTCCTCCTTTCTCAGCCTTTTCAGGCCCTGGCAAGAGTTCTTTGTGAAAGCCATGCTTCTTGCAGGAAGATAACCTAGCACCAGATGGCACTGTTTTTGAACCTTACAAGGTACACTGGGAGGTCTAGGAATAAGAAAGGCTCTGGAACTCATCATATGCGCATTCTTTCTCTCTTATTTTATGGAGATTGAACCCAGGGGCATTTTACCACTGAGCCATATCCCCAGCCCTTTTGATTTTTTTGAGACAGGCTCTCACTAGGTTTCTTAGGGCCTCGCTAAGTAGCTCAGTCTAACCTCAACTTTATGATCCTCCTGCCTCAGCCTCCCAAGCTGCTGGGATTACAGGTGTGCATGACCATGCCCAGCCAGCTCTCATGAAGATGGGAGCTTGGGCCAGGCATGGTGGCACACACCTGTAATCCCAGCAGCTCAAGAGGCTGAGTCTGGAAGATCGCCAATTCAAAGCCAGCATTAGCAAAAGCGAGGCACTAAGCAGCTCAGTGAGACCCTGTCTCTGAAGAAATACAAAATAAGGGTGGGGATGTGGCTCAGGGATTGAGTGCCCTGAGTTATTGCCCGGTACCAAAAATAAAAAAGATGGGGATGGGTGCTGAAATTAGTGGGAGGGCAGGGGTTCTAGGAATGGTCAGCTTTCTCTTTGAGAGTTTCATAGTACTAAAATAAGATGATTTTTTTTTGGTTTTTTTTTTCTTATTCAGTCCTGGACGGTCCCCGGTTTCCTTTGACAGTGAAATAATAATGATGAATCATGTGTACAAAGAAAGATTCCCTAAGGTAAGGATTCACTTAAAAGAAGACAGTATCCCAAGGTTGGCTGCCTACAGCCAGTCCAGTAAAAACACTTTGGGGTGAGGGGTGAACTGCTGCCTCCAGAAGTAACCAGGAAGAGGAGCAGAAAGGCTCCCACAGGAGGAGGAAGACATGGGCATGCAGACTTCCAGACTGTGTGAGCAGCAGGAGGCAGCAGGGTCTATGAGTTTATGGGCTGTATTTGCAGAACCTCTGCTTGTCCATTCCCCAGAGGGACAGGTGACTAGAAGGGAATGTCAGAAAGGTATTCCAGCACATGTTAAAGGAGAAGGAAAGAACTGGAGGCCTGACTTTTCACTGTGCATATCAGGATCTATGAGTCATGGTCCCTCCATGACATGATTTTCCCTCTAGAATCACCTTCATTTGGTACAGATTTCTTAAGCAGGCCCCAGACAGTATACAGACAGATGCTGTACCTACAGGAAGGCCACAGGGAGCAGTGAGTAGGAGACAGAGGGCATAGAGTTGTTTACTAACATCTGTATTTTCAAGGAAAATGTTGATGGAAGAAAATAGGTTGTTATCCTGAGATAGCTGAGAAATAGCATTCACACTTGTCTGCATAACCTAGGACCTTGCTTCCCATTTGCATTTCTGTTTGAACACCATTCTGATCTGGCCTTCCTGCAGAAAGCAGCCAGCTCTGTCTTGAGAGGGAGCAGTAGACTGACAATCCCTGACAGTAGAATCCTGGGATGCCCAAACCTCATTCTTCATCCTCTGTTCAGAACTCCCTGGGTCTGTTTGTTTCTGTCTGGGTTGTGCAATATGGGGGTCCTGCTCCTTTTTGGGGCCCTTCCTCTAGACTCAGGTGTAGTTTCCTGTAAAGATATGATGGCTGATGGAGATGGTGACCCCTTGTGCTTTTCTTGATGGACGATAAAGCAATAGCAAGGAGCAAACTGCCTGAATTGAAATCCACTCCTAGTGTTTACTAACTGTATGACTCCATTCTGCTCTTCTGGGATCCAGGCAAGAGTCATATTTCTATTCACAGTCCTTTATTCCAACTTGGATCCAAGACCAGACAGATTCACAACTTCAGTAAACATTCTCTGACTACTTGCTTAGCTGTGTCCAGCAGAACCTCTGTTAAGCAGGTCCTCAGGTTAAGTAAAGGATCCTGAGATGATAATATTATCTCTGATTTGAAGAACTTCCCAGTCCAGAGAAAGGCTTAGAACTCAGCAGTATCCATACACTACATGTATCCAGTTGAGGCCAATGGACGAAGCACTGATGAAAGGGAATTCCTGTTTGCTGGGAAAAGACTTCCCTGAGGAGAGGTAATGCTTGTGTGAGATGAAAGGACTAACAGGAGCTTGTGAGGCAGACCTTCAGGGCGAGAGGGCCACAGTCAGGGAACAGAATAAACAAAGACAGAGGCATGAATGCCAGGGTAAAGGAGAACAGCAAACCTTCTATGCCCCCAGACAAAGAGCATGCCCTATAGGAAATAGCCAGGAACAGGCAAATTCAGGCAATAGAGGCCCTTGAATATAGTGCTAGGGCACTCTGACTTAACTTGAAAGTGATCTTCTTGTTTCTTCAGTCATTAGATTTCTCAAATGCAACATCAGAAAACCAGGCTCCCAGGAAGCCTGTCCGTTAGCTGTTACCAAGTCCTTCAGCTTAGCTCCAGCTGAGATAGGACTAGAAGGGAACTGTCACTTTTCTTGCTTTTATTCCCAGGCCACTGCACAAATGGAAGAGCGACTTGCAGAGTTCATTTCCTCCAATACTCCAGACAGCGTGTTGCCCTTGGCAGATGGAGCCCTGAGCTTTATCCATCATCAGGTGATTGAGATGGCCCGAGACTGCCTGGATAAATCTCAGAGTGGCCTCATTACATCACATTACTTCTATGAACTTCAAGAGAATTTGGAGAAACTTCTACAAGATGTGAGTGTCTTGGTGCTGGGGCTATGGTAAAACCTCCACATGGTGGGCTGAAATCAGAAATTTGTAGGTTCCCAGTCTTCCCAGCCTGCAGGCACCACCAGGTATTCTTATACAGGATATACAGGAACCACCTCCACGTGTGGTACTGATGGACTTAGATCCTTCCCTAGTTCCTTGCATCGTTGAGTAAAGCCTGTGTGGTATCAGTAGACTCAGTTCTAAGTCCTTTCTTCTCTACATCCAAAGCTGTATTATTCTGCCTGAGGCTCAAACACTATAGATTCATAAATTCTTTGACTAAGAGATTTGTTACCCAAAGCCATAAAGTGGCCCCAATGGATGTGGTAGGCTCTCTTTTCAAAAATAATTGGTGTAGGGGCTGTAGCTCAATGGTAGAGTCTAGCATGTTTGAAGCATTGGGTTCCATCATCAGTACCACATAAAAATATATAGATGAACACAATACTTTTATTGTGTTCATCTACAACTAAAATAATAATAATAATAATACTTGGTGTAAGCAGAGCCTCCCAACCGTCTCTCCTCAGCCCAAAGGAAGCTGGGCCAAGGCTTAACCTGTGGGTTTATCCACTTGCTGATGTTCCACTGACATGGTGAGAAGTGCTCTAGTAAGACTTCTATGTGTAGAGATCTGATCCTCCGCAGTATGAAAAAAATCCCTGTGAGGCTAAAGGTAAAGTAATCCAGAGACAGCCAAGACCAAGCCTGCACTGCTTTAGGAAGTCATATTGAAGTCATATTGAATTTGACTTTAATATGACTTAAATTCAATATGACTTTAGAAAGCCAAATTCCCATGAAAAGCAGCTATTTGTTTCTACTCAGGAATAATTTTCTAATAGTTTTTCATTAATAAATGGGGTGCCCCAGAAACATTTAGGAATCAGGGTATTGCTAAATGATTACCAAGTTTCCTCCTTTTTAAAAATTTTTCCCGCTTGAGATATGTCCCACCTCAAGCTTCATGAGTAGATGTAGCTGGGACTATACACAGGTACCACTACACCCAGCTTCAAGGTTCCTTCTGAAACATTGATCTTCTCAAATGCTGAAATCAGAGTCTTGCCCATACCTCCAGGTATTTTCTCAGACTGACTATCCCAGGGGTTAAGTGGTTGATGTACTAGAAAGACCACTGATTGTGGAGCCAATTTTTTCCTTTCTTCCTTGATTTGTTAGGCCTTTGGAAGGGGGATGTTAACAGGTATTCAGTGTAGACTCCCATCTCAGGAATTTGCTATTGACTAAGGTTATAGGCCCACCAATATATATACTTACAGTAAAAAAAAACAGCTTTCATTAACAATGTGTACTGTGTACCAGACACTATCTTCTATTTATTATAGTACAATGTGATTGACGAGCACAAAAAGAGATAAGTTCTGAGCACAGAGAAGGACTCAGCATGGTTCAGAGAAAGTCAAATCTTGGCAAGTAGGCAAGCCTAGGAAACTGTAAACAACCTCTCAAGGAACTTGGTGCATTCCAGAAATTGCAGATGAAGTAGTTTGGCACAACTAGAGTAGATGCCTGCAGGAAAGAGTTGGTAAGTTTGAAGAATTAGACTGGTAGCCAGATGATGAAGGGTCTTTCTTGGGAGGAATCCAAGCTTAGATTTTTAGCATAAAGGCAATGATAAAATGGCAATCATTCATTCAATGGGATTAAATCAAAAACCATCATCATTAGCTTTATGCTTAAAATAATAAAGATTGCTAGCATTTACAGAGCACTTAATACATGCTAGACACTGTATTATCTCATTTAATTAATTTAATTTAATTCATACCCACCTATAAGGAAAGCGCTATTATTATTTCCCAAATTTAAAGATGAGTAAACTGAAGTTTAAAGGACTGAATCACCAAGATAACTCATTTCTTAAATAGCAGAAGTAGAACCCAAACTCATGTTTGTCATGTATGTATATACATAAACACATACACACACACACACACATGAATAGATTATAAGGGTGCTGGAGATGTAGCTCAGTGGTAGAGTGCTTCCCTAGTATGTGCCAGACCCTGGGTTCCATCCCCAGTATCACATTTGGAAAAAAAAAAAAGTTTACAAGGAAAAAAAAATACACACACACACACACAGAAATCTTCATTTGCAATATTTCTTTCCTTATAACTTATTCACTACTCAGTCTTCTGAGCTTCCCTCAGATTCCACTAAAGCTGTTCAGACAAAAGTAACCAAGGAAATAATTGACTAATTGCCAAATTCTGTGGCTTCTTTCAGACCTCATCTTTCTTCACCTCTCTAGAGGACACAGTGAACACCTCTTGAACCTTAGCTCTCCTGGTTGTCAATTCCCTGTTCTCTCTAGCCTTGCTGCCTCTTCATAACTTCCCCTCTCTACCCACTCTAAAATGCTGCTGTTTTACAGGGCACTGTCCAGAGTTACTATTCTCTTTCCTTTCTCCACCCTTGTGCTGATGAGCCTTTTCTACTCACAGGTCCTTAGTGGAAGACTCCCACGTGCACCCTTATTTTCCTAAACTCCAGACCAGTGACCTACCTACTGAACTCCTTCACTGACTTCCCCAGATTGGTGCATATTCTTTGGTCATAAGTAATAGAAATAAGACTCACAGAAGTGTTAACAGTAAAGGGATACTAAGATAAGGATGAAGAGGGTAGGTTTTGGAGATCTGAAGATAAAAATGCATCAGGCCTTAGGACCAGTGTCCTCAACCAGAAACTGACAAGCTCTTGAAGTGCTCATTCTCCTTTCTTAGCTGTTTTTATCTGTGCTCTAAGGTTAGATATGGCCATCTTTTTTAACCCAAGTGTAGATTATACAGTTTGGCTACACAGATAATAACTGTTATCTTTCTGAGCATTGAAAAATTCCCAGGAAAGCAGTCCACACTGGTCAGCTGTTGGAGGTAGAAGGGAAGGTGCAGCCACAGAGTATCAGTGTGGATCCTAGAACCCTGATCTGTTCTCAGAAGACAAGCAAGAGGTCCTGGGGCCTGGGGCTGGGGCTCAGTAGTAGGGCGCTTGCCTCGCACGTGTGAGGCACTGGGTTCTATCCTTATCACCACATAAAAATAAAGAAAATAAAGGTATTGTGTCCATCTACAACTAAAAATATTAAAATTAAAAAAAAGAAAGAAAGAAAGAAAGAAAAAGGCTCCTGGGCCCAGCAAATACCAAGGTTGTCTATGAGGACACCTCAAACTTAAATTTGCCTCTTCTGCCCCACTGCTCTTTTCTCTAAAGCCAAACTTCACATGTTTTTAGTCTATTGGTTATCTTCTTGCAGTTCCTGTTTCACTAAGGGCTCAGTGAACTTTCCCTAAAAATGAAGTTGCAGTTACCTCCGTTCCTGCTTCTGCCACCCCTCAGATCCATCTTAGAAAATGGCCCGAGGCTGTGCACTCATCTTGGTTTTTACTGCCTTGACTTCTGCCTTGTTCAGTAGGAGTTATTGCATTAATTGATTTCCCTGATTTTAGGCTTGCCCTCTTTAGTGCACCCTCTGCTCTGCAGTTAGTGGTCTTTCTGAAATACCTCTCTGGTCATATCATTTCCTAGCTTTGAGGTCTTTTGTTCCTTACAGTGTGTCTGGGGTACAAGGTGAATATCTATGAAGGCTCTATTGAGAGTTGCCCCTTAAGATGGGATGTGGAAGGTAAATCAAGCTTGTTGGTTGGAGGAGCAGGTAAAGGTGTGTCTGGGTGACATTTCTTGGTCTTGTAGTATTCTCAGACTCACTGGTCTCTCATGAGTGAGCAACTTTCTCCCTCCCACAGCTGACCAGCCTTCTCCTCTGAATTAATTAATTCCTTCCTTCCTTCCTTCCTTCCGTCCTTCCTTCCTCTTTTAGTTTTGCTTTACAGAGCTCTCTCTACTACCAATAATTTCTCCCTGTAGTCAGCTCTGCCCATTACGGTTCTGCTCAGCCCAGCTACACTGGACCAGTAGCTTGCTGAAGTGACTTTTGTCTTCTTTGTAGGCTCATGAGCGCTCAGAGAGCTCAGAGGTGGCTTTTGTGATGCAGCTGGTAAAAAAACTGATGATAGTCATTGCCCGTCCAGCTCGTCTCCTGGAATGCCTGGTAAGTGGACTCGGGAAGATTAGATGGGGAGATGGGGTTTGAGGTTGTAAAGGAAGTATCCTGCCAACAACAAAACTGTGGCAGCACCACTACCATCTCTGTTGCTTAGGTCTGTATTTAAATATGATCTCTAAGCACTGGGAGACTAAACAGGTTCCTTTGAGGACAAATTGATGGTCCTGATGGGTATGGCAAGGAAAGTATTAATCTGACTTATTCCCACATTGAGCCACCTTGTACCTATTTAATGCTAGACACTGAAAGTATAGACATGAATAGAACAGAGTCCTGATCTCAAGATACTTCCTCTGTAGTGGCATTAGCAAATATAAAGCATGTGGATATATAAATAATAATTGTAATATTTTAAGAAATGTCACAACTCAAGTGAATGCAAGGTGCACCAGAAACCTGGTGAAGGAAGTGCTTTAGTTCTGTATAGAATGAGCATTCAGTGAAAGCTTCCTGAGGGAGAAGAGGCCTATTCAATGACCTGAAGGATGAATGCACATTTGCCAGGCCAGGGATGTGGGGTAGGAAGACAGGGTGGATTTGATGAGGTAGCGATGGATGAAGTTGGAAGGCGGGCAGCACAAGATGATGGAAGGTGTTGCCTTCTCAGCTCAGGAGTTTGCATTATCCTTTAGTCCACTTGGAGCTACCACAAAGTTGAGGTTAGAATATGGCATGATCAGGTTTACTGTTTTCTTAACTAACTTTATTAAGATATACTATACATTCAATAAAATACATCCTTTTGGAGTATGCAGCCTATTGAATTTTAACAAATGTATACCTGTATAATTACTGCCATGGTTGAGATTTTTGTGTTTCCTTAAAGAGTTTTCTCATGTCCCTTTGCCGTCAGTCCTCTCCCCACCCTGCTTCCAGGCACCACTTATCTGCCTGCTTTTGCTGTGGGTGTTTGCCTTTGTACAGTTTCATGTAATGAACCCGTGTTCTGACTTCTTTCATTCTGCATAGTGTTAATTTTGAGATTCATATGTTGTTGTATGTATCAGTATATGGTTCCTATTTATTTCTGAATTAAGTATTCTATCAGATTTAGTTCTAAGAAATATTACTTCAGCCTGGACATGGATGGTGAATTGTAAGAGAGGGCAGGATGAGCAAGGAACTGAGGACAGAGGCACTTAAAGCAATTAATGTGAGATAGGGTGATTTGAATTAGGACAACGGTAGGGGGAAAAAAGAAGCAGTAGATTAGAGAGGTATTTATAAGGTAGATTTCTGAGATGGGGCTGAGAAAGAATAAAAAATTAAGAAGACTTCGGTCTGGTGTAGATCATATCTGAGTAGGTAGTATAATTCTCCAAAATAGAGAGACTGTATGGAATGAAAACTGGCAAACCAGAGGTTAGAGAGCCTCTGCTCAAGAGCATGAAGTCTGTAGCAGAGCAGGGGCTTGGACCCAGCAGGTTTGCATGCTGGTTTTCCATTTCTTCTTACTTTGTCACCAGGCATTCCTGTGAACCTTGAATTCCTCACCAAAGTCAAAGAGTCGTTAGAAGGATTTAGCCCAGGGTATGGTACTTGATAGGCACTCAGAAGTGACACCTTTATTATTATATGCAGACAGAGACTATGCTTTGGTCAGCATTGGAGCTTCCACCCCTTGCACATAGGAAGTGCATAGAGGATGTTAGAAGGTGTATATGTACCACTATGACTGGGAGCTGCACCTCTTATGAGCTGCAGTCTAGTGTGTGCCAGGACTGCTCTGGACTGGGCACCTGTACCCACCTGACAGTACCATCTGGCTAATGGAAGGCTTGAAACCTGGTTAACAGGCAGAGCTCTCTTGATGGGAGACTGTTTTTTCCCCATTTTTTGTGATCCCTGAATCATGATATTTCTGGTCTTCAGAGGTTGAGGTGTCTTATCACATCCTCCCCTATATACTATAAAACCAAAGAGGTCAATAGCAGTCACTTGTATCTTTCACCAATGACCACCTCTCTCCTCTGGTACAGGAGTTTGACCCTGAAGAGTTCTACCACCTATTAGAAGCAGCTGAGGGCCATGCCAAAGAAGGACATGGAATTAAATGTGACATTCCCCGCTACATCATTAGCCAGTTGGGACTCACACGGGATCCCATAGAGGGTGAGCATGCTGCCTGGGGGCTATAAAGAAGAGATTTAGCCTGGATGTGGACATAACATGGCATCTGGGGCCTCAGGACCATAGGAGGCACCCTGTGATCTCTGTCATAAAACACCCTTTTTTTTTTGGAATTACTCTTCATATCTGTCTACTGTGTCCCTGTCTGGATTGCCTTGGGCCTAGCTAGGTTGGATTTAGAGCCTTAGGCCAAACTAGGCTACCAATAAAGGACGACAGTCACATTTTTTAAAATGGTCGTCTCCTCCACATACTTGCCTCTCCTGCTGACCACCTTACAAATCCTCCTGTCTTTGGAGTGGTCCAACTCAGCGCTTCAGAGAATATCTTCATTCTTCTGGGCTTCACACTGAGCCCCTGCATGAACATGGGCTTGTGTATCCTAATCTGTAGTTGTCCTGCTCCTGTCTTCCCTGCTTTCCAGCCCCACCCAGCAAAGCACTGTTGACCAGCAGGATGGCCCAGCCTTAGGCCCTGTTTCCAGGAAATATCCCAAGTTTGAGATGAGTTTCTATAGAATGTATCAGGCTTTGTGAATGGCACTGGGCTCATAGAGATAGTGGTACAAGGAGCTGGGGTTGTGGCTCAGTGGCAGAGCATTTGGCTCACATGTAAAGCACTCACACCACATAAAAATAAACAAAATGAGGATATTGTATCCATGTATAACTAAAAAAAATATTTAAAAAGAAAGAAAGAGTGGTACAATAGCATTTGACTTATTTTCTGATCCCCAAACTGTAACTACACTGAGGATAGAACCACAGGACTGGATTTGTATCCCAGGCAAATGCAGAAAGCATTAATGCCTACCCCATATGCACCTATTCTGTGACCTAACGGTACTACTATGATGTCTGACAGTGTCACGCACACTTTTCTCTTGTGTCCTTGCTGTATTTCTAGAAATGGCCCAATTGAGCAGTTACGACAGTCCTGACACTCCAGAGACTGATGATTCCATCGAGGTAAAGACCCTGACCTCCCATTCCTGGAGCCTGAACCCTATGAAACAAGAGGAAGTGAATTCTCTTTAAGAGAATATCTGAAGGAGGGATGGGGAATTGGTGACTGCAGACACTGAGAAGTCATGCTGCTCCCAGGGAAGGATGGACAGAACACTGCAGCAGGGCTGAGCTGAGCTGGTGCTTGGTCCTGGCTTTCCCCAGCACATGGACTCTGAGAAGCATGACTGCCTCCTGCCTTTTCCCTTGTCTTCCAGGGCCGCGGGGCATCTCTGCAATCTAAGAAAACACCCTCTGAAGAAGACTTCGAGACTATTAAGCTCATCAGCAATGGCGCCTATGGGTAAAGGCAGGGGTCAGAATGTGGCCAGGAGTAAAACGAGTCAGCCCTTGTTCTCTCCCTTCTGGAAGCATATGATTCCCAAACCCCTGGGCAGCAGATACCTCAGGGTCCACAGGTGGATCCTCTCACTCCCTGAAGCCCCCTGGAGAGGCAAGAATTCAATATCCTCTGACATCTGAGCATTGCTCATTTCTCAGGCAAAATGCTCATCCCTCTTGGTAACATTTCTCCTTTCCCTGAGTTCTGGAAGCATTCATCTGTGTCCTCAGGACCTGGCCTACCAGGAAATTTGAAAGGTGTTTGGACCAGGGAGCTTAGATCCCTTTCATTAATGTGTACATTCCTTCTCTCTCGTTCTGTGCCTGGGTAAGGTGAGAGGTAGTTCGGGTAGTGGAATGCACAGCTCTGGTGCTGACAGCCTTTGGAGGCTGAGCTGGGTTGCATTTCTCAGGGCCGTATTCTTGGTGCGGCACAAGTCTACCCGGCAGCGCTTTGCCATGAAGAAGATCAACAAGCAGAACCTGATCCTACGGAACCAGATCCAGCAGGCCTTCGTGGAGCGTGACATACTGACTTTCGCTGAGAACCCCTTTGTAGTCAGCATGTTCTGCTCCTTTGAGACCAAGCGCCACTTATGCATGGTGATGGAGTATGTTGAAGGTACTGAAGGTATTGGGAGAAAGGTGGCCTACTGTGGAAGCCATGGTACAGCCCAAGACTTAGCCCTAAATAAGGACCAGTAACTGTATATTATGTAGGAGGACAGTTTCAGAGTCAGCTTCCAAGCCCTCTTTGGGACTCATTCCTGCCTCAGGATCTCAGGCCATTTGGCCATGGTGAGCACAAAACTCCTCACCTCACTGTGAGACTGCCCATGTCAGGTACAGTGAGAGGCAATAGGATGTAACCGTCTAGTGGCTGTAGAATTCATTCCCCAGAGCCACAAGTCATTATGCAGGCATAGAGGCCTGGGTTTCTTTCCTCCTTTGTCTTAAACAATGATCTTGACAGCCATTGGCAGATTCACTTCACTTCCCACTCGTCTCCACACCCTGTTTCCCACTCATGCCAGCAGCAGAGGGCTAGAATCAGTCTCCAACACCAGGGTACCCTGTGAGGCTATCTCCTTTGGGACCTCAGGGACTGCAAACCTGGGAACTGGCTACAGCAGGGAGCTGGATGCTTCTCTCATAATAGTCTGGGCTTGTTGCAGGAGGAGACTGTGCCACTCTGCTGAAGAACATTGGGGCCTTGCCTGTGGACATGGTGCGTCTATACTTTGCAGAAACTGTGCTGGCCTTGGAATATTTACACAACTATGGCATCGTGCACCGTGACCTCAAGCCTGACAAGTATGCCCACAATCTGGGTCCATTGTTCATGGTTTCCCTCTTGAATCTAGATAAAGGGAGAAAACACAACATGTCTGAATTTGTTCTAGAATGGCTCCTAGGAAACAATGATGGTGTGTGTGTGTCCTTCTAGGCCTAGTACTCCAGCCTCTTGACCATTTCCTATGCCAAGACCACTGCCACAAGAGCAGGAGCATCATAAGGCTTCAGTGACATGAAAGAGTCACTGAAATCCCCTAAAGAAATCAAGCAAGAACAAAGGAATTAGCACATCTAATAGATGCCTGAATGAGTGTCCTGACATTTACTGATACTACAGTGTGCCAAGCACCATATTCTGGGTTTTAAATATAGTCCCTTTTGTATTGAACTTAAATCTAGTGTGGGAGACAGATAATATGTGTGTATGAGGCTTCTTCTTGGAGGGCATTCATCAGGTGGGAAAAAGTAGGAGGAGCTTTCTAAAGCAGGGGAGCAAGAAGTATAAAGATACACGGGTATGAGAGAACATGATCTATTCAGGAGCTCCAGGTAGTATAGCTTAGGTGGTGGTAGGTCGGAGAGAAGTGAGAGAAAAGGCTAGAGGAGAGATGCAGGGGCTAGACCATCAAGGATCCTTTCAACTTTGGGTTTTCTTTTAAGGAGCATAGAGTCTTCAGAGGACCTGTTGACCAAGGTGTGATAGAACAACATGTTCAGATTTGGGTTTTGGTATAGAAAGACCACTCTACTAGTGGAAGAGACAAGTCACTCAGGATACCAGGCCAAAGACAACAATGCCTGCACCAGACCACAGGGACAAGATGGAGGAAGGGATAGTGTAGGGAAATAGAAGGGAACAATTAATGTTGGTGTTGGGGTGGAAAGGGAAGCAAAGAAGCAGAAGGAGACTAGGTTGCCTTATAGATTTCTAGCTTGGAACTGATACAGAGGTGATAAGCCTCCATGGTAGAAAGTAGCTTTGGCATTAGATAGACCTAAGTTCACATGACCTCATGCTTGTTTAACTCTATGAGTTTGTCTGTTAATTAAATTTACTCCTTTCTAAATGAGAATGATAATATCTTTGATGTTTGGTTGTACCAGAAAACCTTTTAGGGGCCAGATTTTGTACATTTATATGTGCATGTGCAATAGGAATTGAACACAGGGCCTCATGCATGCTAGGCAAGCATTCTATCATTCTGTCATCTCCTACCCCAAAATATTTTTAAAAGTACTTATCACAAAGCTCAGTAATTTACATAAATTACTGTTTTTTCACTGAGAAGAGGAACCAATTGGGAGGCATGCCTTTGTTTTGAACAGGGTGAGTTTGTGGTATCTGGGAGGTTGGGTAGGTATGGAGCTTGTGAAAGAAGTCAGAGCCAGAGACAATGATTTGGGAATCATTAGAACAGAGGGTTGGCAGGGTGAAGCCTTTGGCACAAAATGAAATGGCTCAAGCAGAGTATGTTAATGGAATCTGATTTCTAGTTCCTCCCAACCAATCCTCCTTATAAGACAGCCATGGACATGGGACAAGATTATGTGCCCCTTTCCCTTCTCCCTGAAATGGGGATAGTGAGCTACCCAAGTGAGGAGGGGTTAGGAATGGCTAGAGCAAACAGCCTTAGGATAAGTCGATCTCAGCTCTATAGAAGAAAGTCTCTTCCTCTTCACTGGTAACCTGTTCCCAGTGTCAATTACAGGTGGAGCAATAAAGAGAAATGAAGTCATGAGAATGGGTGGAAGGCAGGTTAGCTATTTGTGTAGAATGTGGCGCACACACACCCCTACATACCCACCAAGAAGCAAAGAACTTCAGGGCTTTATTCTGCAATATGGAGGGAACACACTTTGCCCACTGAATGGAGCATTTTCTTTTTTCTTTTCTTTTTTTTTTTTCTTTTTAAAGAGAGAGAGAGAGAATTTTTTAATATTTATTTTTTAGTTATCGGCGGACACAACATCTTTGTTTGTATGTGGTGCTGAGGATCAAACCCGGGCCGCACGCATGCCAGGCGAGCGCACTACCGCTTGAGCCACATCCCCAGCCCTGAATGGAGCATTTTCAAAGCCAGAGCTGTATATTTTTTCATAGCTGCCTGTCTCCCTGCTTTTGTCCCACAGAAACCCATAGAGGCCTATGTAGGAAAATTTGGCAAATAATAAAATCAGCACTTGTATAAAACCATGAATAACTCTATGATTTTTTTTTTCCTGTGGCCTCCCAGCCTCCTGATTACATCCATGGGGCACATCAAACTCACTGACTTTGGACTCTCTAAAATTGGCCTCATGAGTCTGACAACCAACTTGTATGAAGGCCACATAGAAAAGGATGCCCGGGAGTTCCTGGATAAGCAGGTAAGGAAAGTAGGTGAAACTCTGGGAACTGAATTCCAGGACTCATAATTAGGTCTTGGAGCCACATGCTTATTTGTGACCAGATGTTAGGACTGGAAGCTTCTATCTTTTCTACCTTTTGGTTCCAGGGAGACATTGAAATAGCACATTTGGAAAATAGGATGGGCCATGAGAATCATATGAATATAAAATCCAAAGTCATCTTTCTCCTCTGGGTTTGGAGAAAATAAGTCATATAGCTATAAATGTGGTTTCATATGAGATCAGTCCTGAATCCCTGGCCTGAGTCAAGGGCAGACCTCTCCTGGGGCCTGTTGTTCTTGGAACATAGCTCCAAATTCCACTTGGCTGGGGCCCAGTTCCCTGAGAACTGCCTCTAGATGTTGCCTGATTTGACTTTTCAGGTTGTGATGCTCACAAGTCCCTGTAGTAATCACATGAGGATAGGTTCTGTTCTTTGGGCTGGAGGGCAGAGGCCGTTTGTGAGACCAGATACCAGAAGGGAGTGTTGCAAGCTCAGGGAGATTAGACATTGTGATTAATTAGGAAATACACCCCACCGAGAGTGCCAATTCTGGTTCCCTGAGGCTCCAGTTGATCCTGTTTCTCAACTAAGGTAAGTTGAGTCTTCAGAGACTTCTTTTCTAGAGTAGGAGCATCCCCACTCCTCCAGCCATCATGCCAGTGAGCTGCCTCAGGATACTGAGCCAGCCTGGCTTCTCTGTGCCCAGGTGTGCGGGACTCCAGAGTACATAGCGCCTGAGGTGATCCTGCGTCAGGGCTATGGGAAGCCAGTGGACTGGTGGGCCATGGGCATAATCCTGTATGAGTTCCTGGTGGGTTGCGTCCCTTTCTTTGGAGACACTCCGGAGGAGCTCTTTGGTCAAGTGATCAGTGGTAGGTACTATCACCCTTACCCAGTGTGGAGTCAAAATCTAGATCCACAAATAAGAATTATGCATGCCCCTGTTGAGGCTTTGGATTTCTTGTTCTGAATTCAAGTGTGTGTGTTTGGTATGCTTGCTTCTTAGGAATATGTGTGCATGCACACATGCACTGAGTCCCCTGGGACCTATCCTGTGAGTGTGAACTCTTTATTTTAGCAAATAAAGCAGGGTGATCTGGAGCTCCAGGACAGGGGAAGTCACTGTTTTTATAATGCCCACCCTGGATCAAAGAGCCAGCCATCATCTAATAAGGAGTGTGATTCCTCTTGGAGGGGAGGAACCTATAGAACTTAAGGAATTTGGCTCCTAGATGGGGGTTTTTAGGGGCTCTGGACTGGCCCTTATGACCTCTCTTCCTTAATATTACACTGGGGCCTTCTGCATCTCCCCACTATCTATCTCTCCCTTTCTCTCTAATCCCTGATGACTTCAGATGAGATTGTGTGGCCCGAGGGTGAAGATGCACTACCCCCAGATGCCCAGGACCTCACCTCCAAACTACTCCACCAGAACCCTCTGGAGAGACTGGGCACAGGTAAGTCAGGCCCTACTCTTTCTTTCTCACCACTTAGGAAAGGGGAAAGGGCGACCAAGCCCACACACCGTGAAGTTCAGGCTTCAGGTGCAGACAGTTTTTCGGGATCCTGAAGTTCTGCCCTGCTTGCTACAGGCAGAGAAAGAAAGGTGTTTGAGCTTAGGCTTCCAGGCGCACCTTTTCCAGGTCTGGCTTCTTGCTTGACTTGCTGGCCTGGATTCCACACAACTCATCCTACTTCTTGTCTAGGCAGTACCTATGAGGTAAAGCAGCACCCATTTTTTACGGGTCTGGACTGGACAGGACTTCTTCGCCAGAAAGCTGAATTTATTCCTCAACTGGAATCAGAGGATGATACCAGCTACTTTGACAGTAAGGCCACTGGCGGGTGAGGTGGAGTGTTGGTCCTACCGGTTTGCTGAAAGGTACCTATGCATACTCTGCCTATGCACTGGGAACAATTTCTCAGGGCTCTGCTGAGGTCTGATAGGGTCACAAGGATGCCATCAGCAGGGTCCCTGAAGGGAACTGTCCTGTGTGTCTGGCCCAGCCCGTTCGGAGCGATACCACCATGTGGACTCAGAAGATGAGGAGGAAGTGAGTGAGGATGGCTGCCTTGAGATCCGCCAGTTCTCTTCCTGCTCTCCAAGGTTCAGCAAGGTGCGACTTAGGAGGCCAGATCAGAGGGATGGGAGAAGAGGACCTGTCAAGAGACACACCTGGGGCAGGCTGAGGGAGTTGGTGATAGGACCACTTCAGAAAAAGAAGAGCAGAGTGCTGGGCTGCATAGAGTAGATGCTTCTAGAACCACTCTCACTAATTCCTGATATAAACGATGTCAGGATCAACATCTCTTATATCAGGAATTAGTAAGAGTGGTTCTAGGCCAACAGGATAAGTGCTTCCCCAGATATTCAACTGAGATGTGGGGGAAGGAAGGGAAAGACTCAAATTCCAGTTTCAGGTGCCAAGGATGTGATTTGTCGTTTGGGAGATGTAGCTATCAGAGCCAACTCCAGTGTGTCCCTGTGCCCACAGGTATACAGTAGCATGGAACGGCTCTCACTGCTGGAGGAACGCCGGACACCACCCCCCACCAAGCGCAGCCTGAGTGAGGAGAAGGAAGACCGCTCAGATAGCCTGGCAGGGCTAAAGGGCCGAGACCGGAGCTGGGTGATTGGTTCCCCTGAGATGTGAGCACCCAGGGCTCGCCAGGGTGGGCAGCACAGCCAACCCTCCCTGTCACACAAATCTTGGGAGAGATTCAGATGCTGGGGAGGTGTGCTTGTCGGGGTAAGGTGGCATTCTCAAGGCAATCCTGGTGGAATGTCTGAGGAGAAAAGTTCTGTGACTGTAGCTCTGTGTGCCCCTAAGGAAGCCTTGGCGTGAGGAGGGAGACTGCTTGGGTCATCTCACCCCAGGCCTTATGTCTCATAGATTACGGAAGCGGCTGTCGGTGTCTGAGTCGTCTCACACAGAGAGTGACTCAAGCCCTCCGATGACAGTGCGACGCCGTTGCTCAGGCCTCCTGGATGTGCCTCGCTTCCCTGAAGGCCATGAGGAGGTCAGCAGCACCCCCAGGAGGCAACAGCAGGAGGGTATATGGCTTCTGACACCCTCTTCTGGAGAGGGGGCATCTGGGCCTGTCCCTGAAAGGCCTGTGGAGCGGCGACTAAAGCTGGATGAGGAGCCTCTCAGCCAGAGTGGTGCTTCCAGCTCAGGTGTGGTAGTGTGTGGTCAGAGGGCCTCGGCTGGGGGGACACTACAGGAAGGGAGGCTCAGCTGTATTGTGGGTCTCATTGTTCATTTGGCCCATAGCCATGGAGACGCAAAGCCACGGGACCCCACAGCTGGCTGAGGGAGCCACAGCCAAGGCCATCAGCGACCTGGCTGTGCGTAGAGCTCGCCACCGGCTGCTCTCTGGGGATTCTATAGAGAAGCGGACCACTCGCCCTGTCAACAAAGTGATCAAGTCTGCCTCAGCCACAGCCCTTTCCCTTCTCATTCCTACAGGTGAGACCCCTAAAGAGCTGGGGTAAAACCCATAGAAAGGGCCTTAGAATCTCTGTAGGCCTGTGGCAGGGGTACAGGCGGCAGGTGTGTGTGTGTGTGTGTGTGTGTGTGTGAACCTCTGAGAAACTGTATGTCCCTTTGTTATGAAAATGAAGGTCTCCAAAGGTGTGCATTGGTGTCTGGAGTTGTGTGTGTGTGTGTCAGGGCAGGGCAGCACAGTGTGACAAGTGTAGGCTTTAAGGTAAAGATCTAATATTCAAATCTTGGCTTCATCACGAAAGGCTCTTAGCCTTGGGAAGTTTTTAATCCTTCTAAGCTTCAGGTTCTTCATTAAAAAATGTGGATAATAATAATAATGGCTAGCTCGTAGGATAATTGCAATGTTTAAATATGTATGAAGATTTTATGTAGTCCCCAACACATGCATAAATGCCGGTCCCCATCACCTGCAACCCCACCTCAGACCTGGGAAACTGAGCGGGTGAGAGGGCTTTGTGGGTCACGGGTTGTGGGGAAGATACACCTGGGCTCAGGCTCTGTCCGTGACTGGGGCTAGGCAGGAATCAGTAGACTGGAAAGGGCGCCAGGCTGGGACCATGGCTAGGCCAAGGCCTTTGACCCACTAAGTCCTGGCTTCTCCTTCTCCAGAACATCACACCTGCTCTCCATTGGCCAGTCCCATGTCCCCACACTCCCAGTCGTCCAACCCGTCATCCAGAGACTCTTCTCCAAGCAGGGACTTCTTGCCAGCCCTTGGCAGCTTGAGGCCTCCCATCATCATCCACCGAGCTGGAAAGAAGTATGGCTTCACCCTGCGGGCCATTCGTGTCTACATGGGTGACTCAGATGTCTACACTGTGCACCACATGGTGTGGGTATGTCTGGCCATCTAGACTTGTCTCAGCTCCATCACTCCTCCACTTTCCCCTCAGTGGAGCCTGTTTGTCCTTTCTTCCGTCACTGCCCATGCTATCCACAGGGGTCAAAGGGTGATGGTAAATGGGGTCGCAGCTTAATGATCAGAATAAGCCCTACACTTCCTGCCCAAGCTTCAAACTAAAGATGCTCTTTCCTGAGACAGCATGTGGAGGATGGAGGTCCAGCCAGCGAGGCCGGGCTTCGTCAGGGTGACCTTATCACCCATGTCAACGGGGAGCCTGTGCATGGGCTGGTGCACACAGAGGTGGTAGAGCTGATCCTAAAGGTTAGTGCTGGGAATGCTGCCCACTGTAGCCCCTGAACAACCCCAGTCTTGTTAGTCTGGACTGGCCAGAGAGGAGTGGGAGGGTTGGGCACACACAGCACAGATTCCAGGGTCACAGAGAACTTGGGTGGCACAGCAGAGAGTTTTCTCCAGAAAGCAACAGCCTCATTAGCCAAGGCCCAGATTCTTCTGAGCTGTGGGTAGGACTGGCTAACAGGGCAGGGGAGCTTCTTCTCTGTCTTCCCGTCCCCAAACCACTCTGGACACCAATGGAAGCCATTTCCTAATCTGTGAGAGGGAAAACAGGCCTTATTCAGACATGTTGGCACAGGAGCAAAAACTGGAGCTGTGGTACAGCCATATGCAGGGGTAGGGACAGGAGCAAGAATATGGCTACTATCTTAGCCTAGACCTCATGCTCTGCTTTGCTTTGCTCCCCAGAGTGGAAACAAGGTGGCTATTTCAACAACTCCCCTGGAGAACACATCCATTAAAGTGGGACCAGCTCGAAAAGGCAGCTACAAGGCCAAGATGGCCCGAAGGAGCAAGAGGAACCGGGGCAAGGATGGGCAAGAAAGGTGAGCCAGTTTAGTCAGAGGTCTGCTATGAGCACTTGGGTACTGGCAATATGTTGGGTGGCTTAACCCCAGGCCTAGAGTGTGCTGTGCTCTATGCATTGACTTGGCCTTGGACCCTTATTGTTACAGCAGAAAAAGAAGTTCCCTGTTCCGGAAGATCACTAAGCAGGCCTCCCTGCTGCACACCAGCCGCAGCCTTTCTTCCCTTAACCGCTCCTTGTCATCGGGGGAGAGTGGGCCAGGCTCTCCCACACACAGCCACAGCCTTTCTCCCCGATCTCCCACTCAGGGCTACCGGGTGACCCCTGATACAGTGCACTCAGGTACAAAGGGCTCTCTGCAGGTAGAGACCACCCCTTGTGAAATAGGAAGTACCTTGGCCCTCTGCTCCCCGCATGTCCCACTCTCAGAATCTCTTTCAGCCCATGTCTAAAGATTCAGCAGTCTTGGGAGGAATTGATGGGGAAGGGAGTGACTTTATTTCTGTAGTCTGGGTACTGGTTCTTTGGTAGGGGAACATGGACAATCATCCCAGTGAGCCCTCCCTTGCCCCTTGATCACTTCTTACAGATAACATTGATCCACCTTTGTCTCTCTGTTTGTACAAAGTAGGGGGGAATTCATCGCAGAGCAGCTCCCCCAGCTCCAGCGTGCCCAGTTCTCCAGCTGGCTCTGGGCACACACGGCCCAGCTCCCTACATGGTCTGGCACCCAAGCTCCAACGCCAGTACCGCTCTCCACGGCGCAAGTCAGCAGGCAGCATCCCACTATCTCCACTGGCCCACACCCCTTCACCACCACCAGCAGCTTCACCTCAGCGTTCCCCATCGCCCCTGTCTGGTCATGGAGCCCAGGCCTTTCCCACCAAACTTCACTTGTCACCTCCACTAGGCAGGCAACTCTCACGGCCCAAAAGTGCAGAGCCACCCCGCTCCCCACTGCTTAAGCGGGTGCAGTCAGCGGAGAAACTGGCCGCTGCACTGGCTGCTTCTGAGAAGAAGCGAGCTCCTTCTCACAAGCATGGTCTTGACCTGCCCCACTGTGAGCTAAAGAAGGAGCTGCCACCCAGGGAAGCCAGCCCGCTGGAGGTAGTTGGGACCAGGGCTGTGCTCTCTGGGAAAGGGGCACTGCCAGGGAAGGGAGTGCTACAGCCTGCTCCTTCACGGGCCCTAGGGACCCTTCGGCAGGACCGAGCTGAACGACGAGAGTCACTGCAAAAGCAAGAAGCTATCCGTGAGGTAGACTCCTCAGAGGATGACACCGATGAGGAACCTGAGAACAGCCAGGGTGCACAGGCATCCAACCCAGAAGTGAGCCAGAATCCACCCACCAGAGGAACAGGAGAGGGTGGGGAAGAGGACACCTTCTTGCCCAGGGACTCAAGAAACCAGGGTCTGGTGGTCCCAGGCCTGTTGACAGGGGTCATATTAGGGCCTCCCAGAATAGAAGGTGCTAGTGTTCCCCAGAGGCGGCTTGGGAGTCCACACGCCTTTGAGGAGGCTATCACCTCCTCCTCACCAGGCCCCAGCCTGTGTAGGTCTGGACCCTCAGACCCTACCCCCGCTGAAGGCTGCCGGAAGGCCCAGCACCTCCACTCCCAGGCATTAACAGCACTTTGTCCCAGCTCATCAGGACTCATCTCTGCTGCTGCCTCCACCTCTGGGAAGTCAGGTACATGGTCCTGGAAATTCCTTATTGAGGACCCAGACAGGGTATCCCCAGGCAGAAAGACAACAGTGGAAGGTGGGCTATCCAACCCCCAAGATTTGGAAACTACAGCTCCATTCCACCCTAAGAACCCATCTCCCAGACAGGAGAGGAAGTCAAAGCCACCCAGTGCCCCTGGGCTGGCCCATACACCATGTGAGGTTCCCAGCCAAAGTTGGCTGTGGGAGTCTGAATGTGCAGAAGTAGAGAAAGAAGAACCACCCCTGAGCATCACCAAAGTGCCTGATGCCTCAGGTGACAGAAGGCAGGACGTTCCATGCAGAGGCTGTCCTCTTACCCAGGAGCCTGGGCCCAGCCTACTTTGGAGGAGCCGAGGACCAGGGAGCAACCCAAAGCATCAGGATTCCACATTAGCACCAGATGAGGTTTTAAAACAAACATAGCAGTTGTTTGCTATTTCTTGCACCAGACCTGTGTAATACACGCTCCTGGAAACACCTTTGTGTTTTGCATGCTTCTTTCCTTCAGTCATCACACTCGTAACTGTCGGTCTAGGTCCTGTGTTGCTGCTGGGAATATAACTGTGACTAAGACACACTATCTAGCTTTGCTTCTCAGAGACCATCTGGGTTCAAACATGAAGAACAGGTGAATAGGTAGTTTTGCTGAGTATGGTAAAGGGAGGGCTGTCAAAAGTGCAGCATATACAATATACCTGGTATGTTCAAGGAACCAAAGATAATTCAAAATGGAAATGGGTATGGCAAATTAAACAAGACCATATCTAATGGTCTTCCACTGTGTAGATGATACAGAACTAAACCAAAGAAGATCATGTGGCAACTAATATCCCTACTAATGGATAATAAAGCTTGGGCTTTCCTGCCCGAGGTAGATCTGGGATTGAACCTAGGTCTCCCTTGACTATACAGCCCACATTCACCTTACTCAGAGTGTGTCTTAGCCAGTAAATGAGGAGGAGAAAAGGTACTAGTAGGTAAGGAGTTTAACTTTGAATGTTTTGGTTTTAAGGTTTGGTTTGGGGTTTCCCCATCCCTTTTTTTTTTTTTTTTTTTTTTTTTTTTTTTTTTTTTTTTGTGGCTGGTACTAAATTTTATTTTTTTTTTTTATTTTTTTATTTTTTTTTTTTTATTTTTTTTTTTTTAATTTTTTATTGTTGGCTGTTCAAAACATTACATAGTTCTTGATATATCATATTTCACAATTTGATTCAAGTGGGTTATGAGCTCCCATTTTTACCCCATATACAGATTGCAGAATCACATCAGTTACACATCCATTGATTTACATATTGCCATACTAGTGTCTGTTGTGTTCTGCTGCCTTTCCTATCCTCTACTATCCCCCCTCCCCTCCCTTTTTTATATTTTATTTAGAGACAGGGTCTCATTGAGTTGCTTAGGACTTTGCTAAGTTGCTGAGGCTGGCTTTGAATTCATGATCCTCCTGCCTTAGCCTCCCAAGCCACTAGGATTACAGGCATACGCCACTGCACCTGGTTACTTTGAATGTATTGAATTTGAGCATTTCTGGGTCATCCAGAAGGTAATTGGATGCACAGATCTGGAACTCAGGAGGAAAATCTACACTAGGTAGAAATGAGCCAACAGCTAATCAACAATCAGTGTTCCTGAATCAACAATTCAGGAACACTGATATTTAAGGCAAAGAAGGGAGACTCAGAATAGCAACCAGAAGAGGAATCATAAAATCCAAGAGAAGAGTTTCAAAATGGAATAGTTACTTGATAAAATGGTGAGTGGTCAAGTGAGATGAAAATAGAAAACTGCCTGTTCAGTGGTTAAGTCCTTAGTATTTGTAGCCAGCAAACCCTTCCTGGGATGTTTGTCAGGTATGCCCCAGCAGTAAAGGTGGACATTGCTGTGTGCATTCTTCTTTGAGTAGAGCTATACTTTGTGAGTAATGCAGAAGAGAAGGAAAGATGTTTGTTGGTGTAGGGGGAGTCAGGAGACGGCATCACAGGGCAGGGAGTGGGGCTTGGTGGAGTATCAACGCTAGGGGTGCCTCCATGCCAAACCATCATGCACTGACATTGTACTGAATGTCCCACAATCCAATGCCTAGGTCTCAAGGAGAGGGGTCAGGAGACTGGGAGACAGAATACTACCTTTGAGTCAATGGCTGGAGGGGTGCCTCCTGTACTCTGCAGCCTTTTGTCATCCTGCATGGGGAAGGTGGTGGCCACCAGAGGGCGTGCTCTATCCACCTGCAGGGACATTTTAGCTTTCTGATCCTCTTGATTTCACTTTCTTCTTCCTTCAGTTATTTATAGACAGCAAATCATGGGCTGCCTGCACTGGGCATTGGGAAGACAGGTTGCAGGATCCAGGAGGACAGCTTGGGAGATGAGTGCCCCACATAGGTCAGGATCTGGTCAGAAGCACCGTACCATAAATATAGGTGAAGCAGATGGAAGGAAGCAGATTTTGCAGTTTCAAGAGAACTGCCTTCTTATGGGTTTTGAAATAAAAATGGGAAGAAGCCCTAGGACACCAAGCATTGTGTAGTGCAAATGCATAGGGTACATGCCTCAAGTGCCAATGGTGCTGTCCTTGAAAAACACTGAATTATCCTAAGGGGAGTGAGGAAATTCTGAGAGGCAACTTCAAATTTATGTTTTATGACGATCACTCTGGCTAATACAGTCAGGCTTGCATTGAGCAGATAGGCCAGAGAGAGCATGATGCAGTGACTCATAAAGTGGTCTGAACTAGGATAGCAACAGTGAAGAGAAAACCTTAATCTGAGGAAGTAGGGAAAGCATGGGAAGATGGACACAGATTTAGGGCCGACAGGAAAGAAATGGTTATTTAAAGCTCTCTGAGGATTTCCCAGAGAATGTGCAGAATGAGAAGCCCCAAAACTCTGGGATTAGCTGGGAGGATGGAGCCACTGAAAAGAGAAATGAGGTTTGCAACATTACAAAATCCATTTTATAGACTTACATTTTGTAATGTAGCAGTGTACAGTAACAGGCACCTGCAATCCCAGCTGAGGCTGAGGCAGGAGAATCACTTGAGCCCAAGAGTTCAGAGCCAGCCCGAGCAATACAGCAAAAGAAAAAAAAAAATTGTGATTTGCCCTAGGAACAATTGAAAGTTATAATGTTTTACACAGGTTCAGGTTTGTAGTTTAAAAAGATAACTGATCGCCATAATGAGAATGAATTTGAGGGGGCAAGAATGGAGGAAGGGAGACCTAGTATTAGGATTAGGCTCTGTAGCAAAGCAATGAATTTAGAGAATTGATGGTTTCACTGGTGTTTAGAAGGTAAAATTAATAAGGGTTGGCAGAGGGTTTTATAGATATGGAACAAGGCTATCAAAGATGTTGACTACAGCTGGGGTTGTAGCTCAGTGGTAGAGCGCTCACCTAGCATGTGTGAGGTACTGGGTTCGATCCTCAGCACCACATAAAAATAAGTAAATGAAGGTACTGTGTCCATCTACCAAAAAAAAAGATGTTGACTACATTTCTGGCTTATGCCAAAATGAACCCAATTTCCATTCAGCAAAATATGAAACAATGGAAGAAACCAGGACCAGAAGGTAACCCTGCACATTCAGTCTCTGGCAGGAGAAATAGATGCAACTGGCCTAGAGATGGTGGGTGGATTCATGGATGTGGAGAAAATGGTTAGGTAAAAAGGCTTATATGAGAGGAAGGCTGGAGGAACATCAGAAAAACTAGGCGAATGAATTGTAATGAAGTCAATGAAAGAGCTTTCCATGAAGAACAGTCAACAGAAATGGATACTGAAGACATCGAAGTCGGCAGTTTCGGATAGTGGAACCTGTACTAAAATGCTTCAGGTGAGGAAATAAAGACATTTAGGCAGGTCTTTCAAAAGGTGTGGCTTTGAGGGGTGGGGAAAATAAGGAAAAGGATATGGGATTGAGTAGGGATTGAGGACATACAGAATGAGAGATAACCAAACAATAATGAAAAAAAATGGTAATTGATCATGGGAGCCAGGAATGGTGACACAATTATAAGCTTGTAAGCAGCTACACATAAGAGAGTTCCCTGAGAATGTGGGAGAAAAATAGAGTCCAAAATATGTGCTGAGGAGATAGGCTTTTGTTGGAAGATATCTTTGTGATTAAAGGTGGGACTGAGAGGACTTCTGTAGATATAGGGTGTTTGTAGGTCTGGTGGTAGGACGAGAAGGGAATTCATAGCCAACCATGTGTTTTCTCTGAAGTAAACAAGTTTGAAGTGCCTATGGGCCACTCTAGTTCCCAGTGGAAATGACCAGATAGATGGCAGGTAGAAGTCGAAAGACAGGACTAGGCAGGAGATAAGAAAGGAATTTTGAGTGTCCTCAGCACATTTTCCCCACCTCTTAAATCTAGGTTTAAGGGAACTCATCCACGCCTTGTATGTTTAAAGTGTATAGAGGGGAGGAAGGACACATGCAGTCACTTAGAACAACGGACCATTCCCTGCTCAATCTGATTTTGTAATTGATGTATAATTGTGTGAGGCCTGAGACACATGGATGAGAACTACAACATACTGTGTGACAGGATACATTGTCATGTTTGCTGATTATATTCCTAGCACATAGGAACCTTAACAAAGTGCCTTTAAGTATAGTGACAATTGCCTAGGAAAACAAAAGGATAAGACCCTAAGACAGTCCATTTACCCTGCCCCCAGAGTAGAAGGTGAAAACTTTTCTTTCTAGGCAGAAATATGTGATGAGCTTATTAGAAGGGGAGGAAATGGCCCTCAGATATAATTTTCTCAGTGTCTGGGTGGACAGGGCTCATGGTAATGCCAGTTAGGGTCTTCCTCTTCAGTGGAGGAAAGGAACACCTTGTGACCTCCAGTTCAGCCTCAGGACTGATCTTTTGGTGTTTATTAGAAGGACTGGGAGTGTCACTGGTTTTTCAACACCCTAGTCCTCTTACCTTGCCCTTGCCCCACCCCCTGCCCCAGCTCACCCTTCCATAGCATCAAGACAAAAAGGTGCTTTATTGCAATGTCTTTATTGCATTACTGCAGCAAGTTGGCCAGACTATCCCCTCTTGGGGAAGGTAAAAAACAAAAGCCACAAAATTGTCTTCCTCACCTTCCCCCCACCCTCACCCACAACTGCACAGCAATGTCTGAACACATTTGGTGACAAGAACAATTTGCAAAAGTGGTCTAGGAACTACATTATGAATTGTCCCAACACAAGACACATGTTGGCTTCCTTGTGAATCAGATATTTTTACGTAAACTACATGAATTTTGACTACATCAAAGACAACAGAATAGGCTTTTCACAAGTAACAACAGGGCACCAAAGTCACATGCTGGAATTTGTAAGGAAATAATGTTGGTTGTCACAAATGGCTGGAGCTAAAGCAAGGCTGAACAGTTGTCAGCTGGGGGGCCAGGCAGGTCTCTTCTGGACCCTCTGGTTTCTGTGGCCATTGAAACCTCACAGAGGCCTATTATGGGGT